GAAAGATCATTTGGGAAATCTCACTCCTAAAATAAAAATCAGGGCACACAATCAACTACTTCCAGGTTGATAAAAAGAAAAGAAAGAACTTTTATTATTACAACATTATTCCTGTTGCAAGCATAATGACTAGATGGGAAGGTAACAAAATATACTCGTGGAGAAACTCCATGGGCCTAGAACTTAGTTACAGAGAAAAGCCAAAACATCTTTTAAACAGTGCCAGATCTCAGATCCCAACCCTTAAAACAATAAAGCCTAACGAAACTACCTAAACTTTACCCTACTTACAGAAAATGAAGAATGGTGTCTGAGAGAGAGAGAGACATGCTTGTCCCTCTCTGTAGCTGCAGAGAACACACCCAGAGAGACAAAAGGGAGAAAGGAAAAAACCCCAAATTCCTTTGTCCCAGTTTGAAAGTCCTACCTACATTCCTGGCTAGGTGTAGTTAACCTCTTAATCCCCAGGCTGCTGGCTAACCCTCATAATCAGGACACCATGTCATAGAAAATTTCTGAACTTATCTAGAATTCAGAACTCTACTGCTATAAGCACTTTCTTTGAGTTGACCTAGGTCCCACTGTATAACTGCAAGACCCGAGGTCAGGCAATCTACATCTTTGTCTAGGATTGCACTGGAGTAGCCATGAAAGTTTTAAAATATGAGTGTTCGTGTTGCAGTCATATAGGTTTATTGTCCACAATGACGAATACATCTTCTCTTATACAGTTAAATGTTGATCTTGCTGTTAACAGAGGGCAAAGTAACTTTCTCATGGGAGTGATTCTTTGAGATTCCCTTGGGATATCCAGTAGCTTCTGCAGACCTTAGTAATATTTTTGGTTATGGTTTGGATACCAGACAAAATGAAATAATTCCAACAGCCCAATATATTGCTGATTTATGCATAAGCAGAATTTGCGTGTGGTTGTTTATAGAAGAAGATTTGCCAATGACATGTTTAACAACTAAGTTTGTTAAAGCACACTCATGTTTGCCAACCTGCGTAAAGGTGCTGTAGGTCAGCTTTTAATACAAACAAATTGTTTCTTTTAGTTATGCATTTTATATGGTTGGAAAAGTTTATATGTTAATCTGCTGGAATAAATAGGCAATGTGAGCTCCATATCTGAATTGGGTTGACTTTGACTCACCTTTTTGTATATTCAGTTAGTTCTATTGTATTTGCTTACAATTGGAAGAAAAAACTGAAATATAAGACAATCAAAATCCAAAAAGATTTTGAAATATCTGAATGATTCCTCTTTTAGCACCAACTGTCATAATATTTGTATATAAGTAGCTGCTGGTATACCTGATTTAAAGTGATACTATGAAGTACTTTAATTTTTTTTAAATATTTACATAATTTAGAAGTTTGCAAATAGGAGTGTAGTTTTTTTTTTGGTTTTCACATGTGGCATTTAAAGGTACACTCTGAGACCAAAGGAAGTTAATGGAGCTTTTTCAGAACCTTCATTAAAAATGGATCCATCTTAAATGGTTTAATAAAAGATTGCCTGGACATTATGAACTTGGCAAATCTAGTTTCAAATCATGTTTTAAACCAGTGTTTCTCAACCAGTGGTACAAGTACCCTTAGAGGTTCTCGAGAGAAGTCTGGGGGCTACGTCAACACAACTGAAATTTGGAGAAAACTGAATTTTTGCTTTAAGTTTTACAGTGCTTTATTATTTTTGTACTTTTTATACCAAAAAAATGTATTGCCTGCCCAACTATGATTAAGTTGTTTAAACAGATGTGTTGCAATGGTAGAAAAAAATGTGTCTAAAAACTGTAGGAACTGGGGGTACTTATAATTTTTTTTAAAAAGGGGTACTTTATAAAAACAAAGTTGAGAAACACTGTTCTAGACTATACAATGGGTCTAGCTAACCAGCTGATGTAACTTCTTGTAAAGTTTTATAAAGTCAGTGAAGATACACCAGTGCACACCAGCTGATCAGAAAGGCAAAGTGGGCACAAACTGTTGACAAATCTTTTTTGTAAAGTAGTTCCACTGCGTTTAAAAGGCACCACAGATGCCACATTCAGTTTTTTCCATGAAGCATAAAACTGCATCTAATTTTTTTTGCATAAGTCAGTCATTTATTCACTTTTTTGCTTCTATCCCGGAATCAATTATATTTAAACAGTGTTGGAAATAATTTTTTTCTAGTAAATTTATTTTTTGTTGTTCTAACTGGAAGGTAATATAGCAGCAATGTGCAAAATGTTCTAGATCTTAATAAATAAACATTTCTAGATGACAGACTGGTTGACAGTTGAAATCAAGTGGGAACATTTTAAATAGAGCTCAAACTTAAGGAATAAAATGACTATCACCTATGTAATCAGTCTCTTCCTGTTAAGCAGAGAGCAGATCTCAATATTTATTTAATCTGTGGAGTCAAAGACCCATAAAAAGGAAAATGCTACCAAGCTGCTTGTTATGGATTGTATTTCTAGACAGTCTGGTGAGTGTATTTGTTTTTTAAGCTAAAAGAAAACAAGAAGAAAAGATAACTGCCTTAAATTTCCATTATAAAAGCAGTTACTGCAATGTATTCACTGGTTTTATATTTGTTTCAATAATTGAATAGTAGAAAAAACCCCTTATGTATCTCGTTCTTTGTTTGTGATAAATATTGTGTTAGGCTCTTTTCCTCTCAAGGAAAACCTGAATCTATAACAGATGCATGCATGAGGTAATACTGGATTCAAAGTACAACCCTTATATTCCATCCACATCTTCAAAACAGTGTTCAAATCAGATTTAAATAGTGCATACGCTTTGTGCTAGTCCTCTGACTTTTTTGGAAGATTCTTGGTGCTTACCACCTTTGAAAATCAGGGCACTTATTTGGATCTGAGAAGGGAGAATTGGGAAACCTTTCTTGATGTACAGCATCTTATTTTAATGACTCAAAAGCATTGTTGTCTCATTCATGGACATGTATCTAATTAAAAAACAAATCAGCCTAAGTTAAAGGAATTATAATATTACTTACTCACTATTAAACATTCAGCAGCCAGGAGCCAAAGATTCCATTTGCAGCTTTAAAAGGGAATGGGGAAGTGCCACATGGAACCCAGGGTCAGGTGGGGATTCCCCAGCTAACCCTGGGCTCCTAGCGGCATGCAGCATAGCATAGAGCCCAGGATCAACGGGGGACTCTGAGTCCCCCACTGACTCTGGGCTCCATGGCTTTGAAATGCACAAAAGTCCGTACTGGGGACTCTTGTACATTTCAAAGCAGACACGTCAGGTGCAGCCTGGAGTCACCGGGACTTCTCGCTGGCCCCAGGCTATATGTAGAATTCTACATTCCTCCTTTGCAATGTACATAAGGGGCTCTTTTACAATTCAAAGGAGGAATGCAGAAGTGCCTGTCGACTAGTCAATTAACCACATTTTAACATCCTTACTTTGCACTTGTGTGTCATTTTCAATAACATGCAGAGTTGAAATGTGCTGAATCAACAAGTATAACAATTGTGCAATGTATAACTTTCAAAGGCTGAGAATTCAGTCATATCAAACCCAGTTTTGCTGCAACACTTACAGAATACTTCTGCTTCAGGGAGAGCTATTATCTGTATTATAACAGCATTAAAAGATAACAGTGTGTGTATGGAGTGTGATTTTTTTCATATTCTCCAGCTAGTGAGAAAAAACTTTATTATTTTTGTCTCCAAGTTAAATAATAGAAAGTCACTAGGGCTAGAAAATGTAGGTGAAAGTTTCTGAAAGCCATGGGCAACTGTGACACTGTGAGCATACAATATAAACAAACAAAAGGCACTGTTGCTCTCATGGTAATGAGTGCACATCCCAAAATTCACCATCACAATTGTTGGAATCCTCAACTGAGAGAGTCAGGACTCTCTGGCAGAGATGGTGGTTCTGGACAAAGGTTTGAGGCATGTTGGTGGGAAAGGTTGTAGTGCTGCTACACAAGTTGTGCTGTTGTGTAGATAAGCAGAGGAGGTTGACATATAGAACTCTGAGTCCTTTATGACTATTAAATTCACAAAAAAGAAAAAATGAAATGAAATGGCTGCAAGCGTGTTAAAGTTCCAAAGCCTGGAACGACCCGTGTTTCAGAGGACACTAAGTTCTGGTTTCCCTTTGCTGTTGAAGAGCATGTATAATTCAGTAGTCATGCATCAGTATCTTGCAGGAGGGTACCAGCTGTATTGTCCTTACCTGACATAAGCAGGTGACCCCTGACGTGTGACGTGATTGGTTCCCGGGGAAGTGTCACAAGTCGGGGGCATTGTAACTCAAACCCTCATTGACAATAGGCGCTGTCATAAATGTGGGCTGAGGACGTAAGTCGGGTTTTCGGCCCCTTCCACACTTTAAAAAATAGTTGTATGCGTGGGAAGTTGCAACTCGGGGGTTTCCTGTAACATAAGGGCTATAAACGTATCAGAAGAAATTACTCGCCTACCTGTATAACCAGATGGAAGGAGAGAAGGGAAAAGAGAGAGAGAAAAAATTAAAGCCTAACAAGAAACTAAACACAACACCTTCTTCTTTCTAACTAAATGGCTGTCTTCTTCTCAGTAAATGCCACTAAAAAGACTTTGCCATGGTAATCTTTGGCATCGTTTTATCCCAAACACTTGACAGTGTTATTAAGTAACATTTATTTTTCAAGCTGTAAACCTATGGTTCTCAGATTGTGGGTTGGGAGCCCAAAGAGGGTTGCAACCCCATTTTAATGGGATCACCAGGGCCAACATTAGACTTGCTGGGACCCTGGGCTTAACCTGAAGCCTGAGTTCCATCCTCACCCAGGGCAGAAGGCTTTGAATTGTGGGCCCCTCTCCCCCATCCAAGTAATGGGGCTTGGGCCAGTCTCCTTAGGGGTCATATATTAACTCTATTGTCAGAAGGGTGGTTGTGGTGCAATTAAGTTTGGGAACCCCTGTTCTGAACTACGTGGGATTGAAATCTGTTGAAGTAATTGTTTTCTTTTGTCATTTCAGCTATGAAGACTTACACTCCAGTTTTCATTCTCCTGTGGGGTGCTGTCGGGATAGCAAGGGCTGCCAAAATTGTTGTTGTGCCGCCAATTATGTTTGAAAGCCATCTGTATATTTTTAAGGCCGTGGCCTCAGCCTTGCATGAGCAAGGTCACCAGACGGTGTTTCTCCTCTCTGAAGGCAGAAACATCCCTCCATCTAATCATTATAGACTCCAGCGTTACCCAGGGATCTTTAACAGCAGCACTTCGGATGATTTTCTTCAGTCCAAAATGAAGAGTATTTTCTCTGGAAGACTTACAGCACTGGAATTGTTTGACATCCTGGAACATTATTCTAAGAACTGTGACATGATTGTGGGCAACCAGAATTTAATGCATGTTTTGAAACAGGAAAAATTTGACCTATTGCTAGTGGATCCTAATTAGATGTGTGGGTTTGTTATCGCTCACCTTTTAGGTGTTAAATATGCTGTTTTTTCCACCGGCCTTTGGTATCCAGCAGAAGTAGGTGCTCCAGCTCCTTTATCTTATGTTCCAGAATTCAACTCGCTTCTCACAGATCATATGAACCTTCTAGAGAGGATTAAAAACACAGTTGTTTATGTGGCTTCAAGATTTGGAGTCAATTTTTTGGTACTGCCGAAATATGAAAGGATAATGCAGAAACACAAGGTGCTACCAGAGAGATCGATGAATGATTTGGTACATGACTCCAGCCTGTGGATGCTGTGTACTGATATAGCCCTAGAGTTTCCAAGACCCACTCTACCAAATGTTGTTTATGTGGGAGGAATCCTCACCAAACCGGCCAGTCCTCTACCAGAAGTAAGGTTTGCTGAGCTTTTTGGTAATTTTTGTAGTATCTGAGTGGATCCCTAAGATGACTGTTACTTCTTAATAAATTTGAGATCTATTTAAGTTAAATTGTAACCTAAAATCTTAAGAATTTAAAACTGCTTTTGTTGTTGTTTCATACACAATCAAATTAATTGGAAACACACAGAACTTTGGAACATAAAGGTGGGTTTTTTTTGGATGTAGATGGTCTTCTCTATGCTTTTTCCTGCTTTGAATTAGATGTTTCATGATACAGCAGAGGACCACAGTGTAAGATAGCTAGACTGTTATGGAAGTCCTGACATATGGCTGTTAAATGGAAGTCCTAACTAAGAGCAAATGAAAGTAGCAGAGAGATAAATGTGATCAATGGATCATTTTATATACAGAGATTTCACTGATCTCTGATTTCCAATTTTATTATGTTGGTGTGTAGTCTATTATAAATTATTGTCTTCTGATAGCCAGGGCCGGCTCTAGGTTTTTGCTGCCCCAAGCAAAAAAATTTTTGGCTGCCCCGCCCCCTCCTTTTTGTTGGCTTTTACATGTTTGCACTTCGCAATTTTTTTTCTTTGTTTTGGTGACAGAGACAAGATTTCCAGCTTACACAAAGCTCTTTTTCAAGAGTGGGAAATGTACCTTAAATCTCTACTTTATTGTTCTTATAGAAATAGGCTACTTTTTAATTGTGGTTTGAATGCATGAAAAACTAACAACACAAGTAGTTTATATTTCCTTAACTGACTACCAAAAATAGAAGGGAGAACTTGTGCCACATCTAAAACTCAAGTAATTTATGGCTATACTTAACCAATCTTCAAACCAATTACAATCAGCTAACAATACCACTATGTTTAAACATACTTGTCAACCAATTATGATAACTATAGCACATAAGACATCTAAACTACATGAATAAATAGTTGTATTGTTAAACTAGATTTGTTTTAGAATGCAGTGGCTACTTATGTGGCTTTAACACATCTATGTTATCAGATAAACTGACTACAGTGGGCGTGAATGTGCACATTATTTTTGTGTGTCCATCTTTTTAGTTGCCATTATATATTCAAGTTTATGAGGTGTTAGAGGGAGTGGAGAGTTGCATGTGCCCAATTCAACTATATATGGAATGAAGCTTGCCTTAGAGACATCAAACACAAAAGTTTACCCAGATCAACAAAGTTTAATTCTTTAAATAAATATCTATGAAACAGCATGTGTGGTTCTTTGAAGAGTGTAGAACAGTTAATTGTGTGTGTGTGTGTGTGTGTGTGTTGGATCCTTGTTTGGTTCTACTTCTACTACAAACATGAACAACAGAAATATACTAGGAACAGACTTCAAAGGGTCCGTGGGGTTGAGGCTGTCAGGGGCTGGGGCCTGCGGGGAAAGGCCGGGGGCTGGGCCAGCGGGCTGAGTGTTTGTAGGTTTGCCAAGTGTCCAGTATTTTTTATTTTTTTACCAGACAGGAAGCGAAAATACTGGACACATGGCAACCTTAGGCAGAAAGGGGGCATCTTACCTGGGATTTCCATATGATATAGGCGGAGGGGTGGCTGATGGCTTCTAGTGGAGAGGCTCTCAGAGGAGGTAGTGGCCGCTGGGGAGGAGCAAGACTAGGAGACGGGTGGCCAGCAGGCTCCGGGCCCAGGTGCACATGGTGCCAGTGCTGTCTGCGCAGCCGTGGCATCTCCCGTGGCCCTATAAATCGGTGGCGTGGGGCTAGGCATTGCCGGGGATGGGGAGGAGCAGGATGGAGAGGAGACCGGGGCGGCCAGCAGGCTCCGGGGCGCATTGGTGCTGCCAGCTGGCTGCCCACGGTGTTTCCCAGCTGCAGCCCTTTAAATCGGCAGGGTGGGGCAAGGCATTGCGGGGCAGCACTGGCTGCTTACCTGAAATGCCGCCCCTGGCAAAGTGCCGCCCCAAGCACCTGCCTGATTTGCTGGTGCGTAGAGCCAGCCCTGCTGATAGCTAGGGTAATAGAGGATGTCTGTTTTTTTTTTTTGTTTTTGGTTTTTTTTTTTTTTTTTTTTTGAATGAATCAGAAAAGTTTGTAGCAAGACAAACAGCTCACCAAATAAGTGCTATTCGGTGTCAGTGTAAAAGTTTAATGTCTGCATAAAATAAATTACCACCACAAATCATAATAAAGCTGAATATCATACAGAAATAATGCCAGTGCTAGAGCCAGGATTGTTTTTAGCAAAAGGATCACAGAAACCTGAGAGTTCACACTTAAGTTTAATTATTAGAGTGCTTCATGTGCTCTTCACACATGATATCTAGGTATGTCTCAGTAACACCATGATGACTGGAAGATATTCAAGGAGCTGTCCTGTATATAATTATTTACATATGCTTTGTCACCTGTGGTTCAGGACTAATCTCTTCAATGAATGGATTCTGCTGTGTGGCCAGGAGAGAATACTGGTAATTGGAAGAATACTGAATTTCTGAGGCGGAATTTAGTATTCCTGTTGTCATTCCTACTTGCTACTGCTGTGGAACTAGTATATATAAAGTTGGAACTGCAGCATAGGAAACATGGTCAGGGATATCTGGATTGAAAACAGAGCCTTATATAATGGGTTATGTTGATAAGATGTTGTATAATAGCCCTGCATCAAACAAACTATGATTTCTGGATATTGTAAAAAGCTAATGAAACACAGCTTAACATTTTTTAATATTGCTTCAGAGCTCATATATGTAAACTATTTTAACATATCAGAAGACTGATTTAAAGAGCCATTTTGAATGTCTTAATATCTTTTAATGTAGTCAGAGCAGGACAATTCCATAGTCAGTGAGCTCAGCTTGATTGCAGACAGAGCAGCAAGCAGTTTAGCTCAGGATCTCTGGGAGGGGGAGACTGCCAGCCATGAGTGTTGATTGATGGCCCCAGTTTGGTCACTGTCTCCCAGCACAGGAGGCCAGGGGAGCATCTGCTTCTGCTAGTGGTTGGGCTTCAACTGAGCCCACAGCTCTACCCTTTATATTTCCAGCCATGCCCCTCTGCTTCTGGGGGGTAGGCCAGGAGTGGTACAAAGTAAAGTGATGTGGTCTTCCACTTTCCAGATCAGATAGGAGTCAGCCCATCTCACTACACTGAGTCAGTCAGGAGCCACGGGACTACTGTCTGCCAAATTGTTTTGGAGACCTGCCCATGGGTTGTGTCCACAGTGAGTCATGGGAACTGGCATACAAGCTAGTAATAGCTGTTGCACAGTGGTAGCCTGGAGGTGCCAGCTGCTTGGTGGCACCACAGGTGTGTGTTCTAGATCTTTGAGCCTTTGTGTTAGGTTCCAGTGTCCAAATGTGTGTTCTTAAATATGCTCTTATATATTCCATCTTTTAATGCTCAAATGTAGATCCCAATTTAGACATGTACATTTTGAACATTAGTTGCTTGAAAATTCAGATGATAAGGCTTGTTTCTTTAGCTGGCAGAAAGATTTGATAGTGAAAGCAACTCATCTGTGATCTGTTACAGGGGGATCACTAAATTGTGAACTCTGAACTTCATGCAGAAAATTATAATACATGTGCATTACATTCTTCATTGTGTCATTTCACAGTCCCCATGCTGTTCAGAGGTACAGAAGGCCAAAATGAACAGACCATTCATATGAATGCAACAGAATCTAACTATCTAAGGGTAGCCCCCCAGTTCAAATGCCTACATTAGCCCCCCAGTTCGAACTAGGGGGCTAGTGTAGACATACCCTAATTTAGAACTAGATGACAGCTAGAATGGGCATGTTTGCATATAATATTACAAGGGAGGAAAAGGGTGCATTGTGAAGCTTACTTCAGCCAGAATTTTGAGATTTGGGTAACTTAAGTCAGGTTATTGGGCTAAACGTTGCCACATAATTAATGTGGGCTTTATTGATATATTTATTAGATCTAGGATAATCCTTTTGCCTCTACAGACATTGCATCTGAATCAGTACAACCGAATTGGTCCCATTAGTTGATTCCCACTATATGTAGTAATGGTTTAAAAATAAATGAATGACCAGATTGGCGTTGCAATATGCGAAAAATTGAATCCGTCCTCAAAACTGGGTATATAAAACAACTCCATAAACAGTGTCTGAGTGAGGGTGGCTGCTAATGATAATCACTTATAGAATCACATATGCATATAAGTGTATGTCTGGATCCATTTGGTTCTCAAATGAAAAAAAATACTAATTCTACATACTGTATAATACTTCAGTTGCTTGTAAATGTGGCAAATATGGGCTCAGTAGTAAAGCTCTAGTTGGCATACCTGTGGGTTTGGGCAGGACATGACATTTTGTTGATATAGACAGCCTGTTACTAGGTGCAGCCAGGGACTCATATTAATTTACTTTCTTTCCATGCTATGTAAAGCTGTACATTCTATCTAGTTTTGTTCATACCAAGTAAGTAGAAGTACTGAGAGGATTTGGAAAAGGGTATTTACTTTTATCTAGTTAATTTGAACAAACATAGCTAATAGTAAATTATGCCATCCTTGAAGGTCTTGACGTAAAATACATAAAAGAGGTGGCAGACTTGACCTGATTATGTTAATTGGACGACTTTTGTACTCTCCAGTGTTTGCATTCCTCAAGGAACCTTTATTACAGAATAGTAATTAAAGAAAGTTTTGCTGGATGGCTGCCTAATGGCATGCCTCTTACTTGATAATATTTACATGCAAACCAGCTACAGTGAGTTAGGCGTCTTAAGACTTCTTTAAGAGTTCAATGGAGAGTTATATTTCAGTAAGATAAAGCACGATGCCATCTGTGAAAAGAAAAATTGTATGTTCTATATTGTGGATTGTATTTGGTGAGCAAACAGAAGAGATGACAAAGAATAATATTTCCTCGTGCTGTTCTTTTAAAGAGACGATTTCTGATTGGAAAGATTCAAATCAATACATTCATATTTGTATGATTTGTCTATTTGTCTGTATAGTTTCAAATAACTCAATTGAATGCTTCTTC